GTGCTGACAAGTACTTCAAAGCAATGAAGAAATTCCATCGATGTTTGCCCATTTTCGATGAGGAAGTTGTCGATCTTCCTGCCCTTTGGGGGAAAATAACAAAATGTCTGGAGGGCAGGGAATCTGGAGTTGGAGTAGGAATCTCCGCCTCCAGCTTGGGGTATTTGTCCAGTCGCATATTGGATTTCCACTTCAGCCGCCGCTGAGTGCTGCAATAATTCTCTTGCTGAAAAATGAACAAAACTGAAAGCGGCTGCTGCTTCTGCTGATGATTTTTCTGCCTTGGCTGCACTTGCCATCCGTGGACATGACTAAAATATTATTAGAAGCGGCGAGGTAGTGCGTCCTCCTTTGGGAAAAACTCCTCTTCCCCGGGAAGGAGCATGGTCACAGGGGCGTTGCATTTTACGCTAAGTAAGAATCCGAATAGAGCTCGTCCAGCTGGACCAGGAAGCAAGATGTCTGCAATGTTTCTTCTCCGCCTGCATAGCCGTTGTCGTGGTCGTTCCTCTTGTTGCTCTTGTGTGTCGCTGTTGTCGTCTTCTCGGTCGTGTTAGAATGGTGCACTTGTAGAATAATGTAGTACCTTTAAATTATAAGAAAACCTTGATTTAATCAAGGAGCCATCACATCAGAAATAACAGAAATATCAGTCATTAAAACCTATTTTATCAGACTCTCTCCTGATATTTAAAATACCCTAGAGCCTTTACATTTTTCTCCCAGTGCTTCAAAGTGCAGGATGCAGTTGTGGGTGAGTGCCTCCAAACTCGCCTAATGATGCACTGCAGCCTGGTCTGTTCTGGAATTGCGCATTTGCCGGCCATGGTCCTGGGCTGGGGCCAATTTAAATTCTAATTCCATGTAGCAAATCAGATTAGCTGCCGACCGACCACAAAATGGCCCAAACAGTTAGCCGGACTTGGCCGCACTTGAACCGCGCTCGGGAGCCAAGTTTTAGGCCAGCCTTTTGGCCACGGGCTTGGTTTCTGTTTTGCTCTTGCTCTTGGCCTGGCCCGAAGCGTTTTCACTCCATCTCCGCTGGCCGTAAAAATTCATTTTATGACTGTGGCAACAATATTTTTATGTTTTTATAAATTTATTTCACATTTTCATTTTGAAACCCGATAAGCAAACAGACAGACTTGCACTTTTCCCGGGCCTATCGCAGCTCTTTACGGCTGTTAAGTGTCGCCAAGTTGTTTGTGGCTTTACTGGGCGTATTCGTCTTAACTGTTTTTTAAATGCATTCACGTTGCAGTTGTAAAGATTGACAAAATGCAAACTGGTTCCCAAATCTAACCCATCCGATTGACTGACTCAAAAGACTCTAAAGAGCGCCATAAAAATGATTTAAATTGAGATTTACTTTACTGAAGGGTGTCTCTTCAGCTAACTGCGGTTTCATTTGGCCAGAAACTCATTTGGCCCGCCTAATAGGTTTCATAAAAGACTCGAGCACAAAGGAGATTTTTATTTTGTTGGGATTACAATTTTAATAAGTTTTAACTCTCATCGGAAACGAAATAAAATTTCCAAGGTTTTGCTTGCTGTCAACACAATGGCTTTTTTGATTTTAATTAAAAGTGAACTTTAGTGAAGGGAATAATATTTTGACGCCTTGTTAATGTTTATCAATTTAAGGGGTATTCGTGAAGGATAAAAGATTATGAAGTGCTGAAGATTAAATTGAATATAAGGGAATATAAATTATAAGATAAATATCTATAGGTTGGAGTCTTTATTGAGAGTGTTGAAAACTTTTTAAAATTATTTTAATACTTATCAAAGTTATGGGGAATTGGAGAAGGATAAAAGATCATTAAGTCTAGAAGTTGAAATGCACTTTTAGGGAATATTATTTAAAAGATAAACAACTACTGATTAAAGAGTGTTAAAGACTTTTTTACATAATTTTTTAATGCAAATTGCTGAGTTTTGTCTTCTTTCTTTTCACTTTTAAAGAAATTACTTTTATTAATACAGTTCATTAAACTTGTATATATTTATTTGTAGCAAAATGATAGTTAAGCTACAGATGATAACTAGCTAATGAAAATAACTACAAAACTGCCTTTATTTTAATACAAGAAAGTTTGCTTAAAGATTTTATTGCTGTTATATATGAAATTAAGGAAATTTAACTGTTTTTCATTTGCGAGGTAAGACAATTTCTTTTATTTAATAATTTTCTCTCCTACAAGAACTGGTAACTGACTCATCTTCCAAGCCTGACTGTGGATCTCAGTGTACTTTGAACTTTATTCCCCTCTGAAGTCTAGGGTCCATTTATAAGCCCAGGGTCCACGCGGAACACTCCATTAAACCCACACATTGGGTTGGGGGTCACCTCTTGGCCTGCAGCCATCGATGGCTCATTAATTTCTGCGTGGCATCCAATGAAAATAAATCGTAAATCAATAAACCGTACTCACAGGCTTTTCGGGCCGTGTTTTCCCCCTACATTTCTCTGGCTTTCTTTAAGTGCATCTTTTTTTTTGGGGGGAACTGAGATCGATATTTCTGGTAAAATTTAACAGCTTTAATTTCTTGATTAATTGGCCTGCCTGCATTTAATTTTTGCCATCTCTGAAAAGTAATTTTGATTGATGTTTTTATAATTTTATGGAAAACCCTTCGTGTATGCTGGCTTTGTAAATAACTGAGATTTTTCCACCCAAAAAAAAAAGGAGAACTCTGAGGTCTAGCCACAGGTGTTCGGGGCGTTCGGCAATTAAAAATTCAAATTTAATTTTAGACTAAACGTTTCTAAACAATGCAATGAAGCCATTCACAGACACACATGCATGCGATTACACTTTGTCTGGCGCTGTCTGGCGCAGCGGGATATGTATACAATGCGGCGGTGGATCGTTGGATCGGTGAATATGTCTGGGATGAGGAGTTGCATCTTCTGCAACAGCACAGAGAGAAATTTTTTGGTAAATTTAGATATCCATTTTATCCTGTTGCAATATATATTCTTACATAAACATTACAGGAGGTATACAAAATATTTAATTTTATTTATTTTTGTGAGGAGAAAAATCTCTTATTATAATCCATGCCGTTCTTTGAGACACCCAAAGTAAGGTTTTAAGTACTCCAAATATATAAAAATCCCAAAGAAACAGTCATCTGTATTTCAACCAATAAAATTTGGATCTTTTAATATCAAAAATCAATCGCTTTGATTACCCCTTTTTGTGTGTGCATAGGACTCGTTTGGAGATTTATGTGGCCAGCGGAATGGAGATGGAAATGAGCATTTCATGTTGCACTTTGTTGGCACAGTTTCTTCTCCTTCTCCTTGTTCTTTTTTTGGTTTTCGAAAGAATACTTCCGCATTTGACTTGGCCGTTCTTGTTATTTTTTCTGGCCATGGCAATATATAGCTCTTTTTTTGGGTTTGAACTGTTTTCCGTTCCCGTTTGTTTGGCGCCCTTTACGCTGAACGCTGTGAATGCTGGCGCATAAATAACGTGAGAATTATGGTAGAGTTCGATCTTACCAAAGAAGCCAGTTACGGCCAAGGAAGAGAACAGCGCATAAATATGCATGCGCGACAATAAAGAAATTGGTAAATGTCCCGGTCGCAGGACCAAAAAACAACTGTGTGCCACTTTCCGCTGCTGCCACTTTTATTCGGCCAGCAAAAAAAAGGCCACTCAGTCACTCCAGTGGCCACGTCACGCGTTGGCAATTGTTTTTGGCCCGCATTGCCAATTACGACACCATCAGCAAACCAGCAACATCGCAGCAGCAACATCGCAGCAGCAACTGCAGCAGCAGCAGCATCCAAATCACAGCAGCAACACCAACTGCCAATTTATGGATGCATCACAGTTTCGGGCCAGTTTGCAGCCTCTTTTTGGCAACCGAAAAAAGAAGTCAATAACCGCTTATTATCATCGCTTTTTATGTTTGACTGCTGGCGGGTAAAAGGTCTTGGGTGCATTGGTTTAGTACTTGGGATTTTGTTTGGGTTTCGAAAATACACACACACACACACCGGGAGAGGTATTTCAGTCAGCTGGGTGTGTGTGCTTACATCATTTTACAACTGAAATGGGTGTGTGATAACTTTACTTGTTTTTATGATCTTGAATCGTAAGAAGTATTTAATGCCCAGGAGAGAGATATTTAAGGCTTTATCTCTGCACTCAAGTGCATCTTCTTAAAAGCATCATTAAATTCCTATTAATATTCTTAGAAAGTGCATTAGACTTGTAAACAAATATTTTTGATATGTGCTTAATGTTTACCATAATATTGTGTAAGTGAAAACAAGAGAGGATTCTAACTTAGGGAAGCTACAGTTGAATCTGAAATAAATTATTTTTAAGCTTAAAATACTCCCATTCGCAAACTAGTTGTATTTTGAACAAGGAATATAACATTCTTTAGGTTTTATAAAGGTTTAAATGATAATAAATACATAATTAGTAACTCGATCATATCTTGAAAATTTCCTCTTTTGCCCATCATGGTAAAAACCTATTGCCTAGATTTAAATTAAATGAAATTGAAGGCAATGCCGAATAGCACTCGAACTGGGCCTGACAGCCACTGAACTGTCGATTGCGTGAACTGGAGCACTCGGTCTGCAGCTCCTCCGCACAAATGACACGGACTGACATGGCCGCAAGTCATCGGCTGGGAGCGGAGCGTGTCGTGTTTGTCATCGCAGATACTCCGCGGTGCTGACACAGAGACACGCTCCTATCTAGCTCTGGTTGGAGTCGTCCACTCCACTGGCACATGCTGGCACATGTGACAATTGGCATTGGCTAGAGTCCAAGCCAAAGCCAGAGCCAGAGCCAGATCCAGATCCGAGTCCAAATGTACAGGGGGCGCAGCAACCTGTCGTTATGACAGTAATTGGCCGACATCGTCTGGAAAAGTCAGTTTCACTTTTCGCCGATGATGAGTTACTGATTTGGGTCAAAACCAACATCCAAGCCAGAGTCCAATTCACACCTCGCTTCGATCTCTTTCAGGCGGCACATTTGCGTGCAGCAACGGACGGTGACGATGCCCGTGAAGCGAACGGAGGTCTACACGCGTCCCACCTGGAAGCATGTATCCACGCCCTGCCAGCCGCCCACTTTCAATGGACAGATGTGCACCAGGTAAGCGGCATTTACTTGCTTAATTTATATATTGATTTATTGCTTATAAATGTTGAGGGGATAATAACACTGTATAATATACAAAACACAATATAATATGATATTTTTATAACCTTACAGTGGTGTTGCCCCTTTAATTTATGCTTAACAATTTCATTTCTAATAAAAATATATTTATTTAGGGTGCAGGTGGTCCATGAGCCGGCTTACAGGGATGTGATTGACCACAAAACTGCCCAACAGATGACCTACGATTGCTGTTCGGGTTGGAGCAGGGAAAATCCACGGGCGGATGCGTGCATGAAACGTGAGTAAAAGATCAAAATAGTCTAAAATCTAAAGTCTGAAATAAATACAAAATATATATTTGATGTATTCGAATTTCAGTACCAAAATATAGATCAATAAATGAAAAATTAAAGTGAAAGGTTTATATGATTTTTTGATCATAATAATAATCTAAAGACTTTACTAATATTTTCAAGTTTTATAACTAATTAAAAATATAACTTATTTAAAATAAATTCATAAATAAAGTGAAAAATTATACGTTCACTCTTAAAAAAATAAAGTTAATGTATGTCTAACATAAAATGTACTGAAATTGCGTATACGACTTGTTGGACCATGTCTCATTCCGGGTTTAAACTTACTTTACTTTACTTTTTAAACTTACTGAAACCGCCCGTTAGATTAAAAAATATCATATCTATAAAACTGTTAAAACTGAAATTAATTTTAAATTATTATTATTAATAAAAAACATTGTTTTATTACTCACCCTTTCAGCTCTTTGCTCCACGCGTTGCCAAAACGGCGGTAATTGTACGGCTCCCAACACCTGCAGCTGTCCGGCGGGTTTCACTGGACGCCACTGCGAACAGGATGTAAATGAATGCCTTACGGAGAAGCCCTGCGACCAGCAGTGTGTTAACACGCCCGGCTCCTACTTCTGCAGGTGTCGCCAGGGATTCGTGCTGCAGGCGGACCAGCAAAGCTGCCGGAAGACTTCCACCCACGCAGATGACGCCTTCGAGGCAAGGGATTTGGAGAACGACATCGATGACACCGATGCAGAGGTGGTCACGCGGCTGCAGAAGATCGAGCGCTCGTTGGCAAACGAGCGAGTGCACACCAACGAGTTGCAAAAGTCTCTACAGGCCACTTACAGTGTGGTGGACACGCTCAAGAGCAGGCTGAGCACTTTGGTAAGGATTCTTAAGGATACTTTACTGGGAATTATAAATAATAATTTCTGTACATTATTTTCTCCACAGGAAAAGCAAGCTCAGGATGTCAGCCGATTGCAGACGAATCTGTACAAGACAGAGTCGCGGACAAACAAGCTGGAGGGAATGCTTAATCTGCTACTAAAGTGCCGCAACGGGCCGAATGCCAATTGCCCCTAAACAGAACTGTATTTTTCCCTTTTTCTCTATCGCTATAACTTAAATTTTAGTTAACTTAATTGCCCACTCTGTTCACGTGTAGCTACTCCAGCTTGTAAGCCATTCCCGAATTGCGAGTCGAGTGCCTCTGTAGTCCGTAGAACCGTAGAATCAGCCCTCGACTAGGGCTATGTATTAGTACTTAAGCGAACGTGTCATAAATGTATCGAGATCTGAAGTTTTAGCTGTAAGCGCACCACCGCCAACTGCCCCACCCGATTCGCGGTGGGTGCAGCGTTTAGTTTCTGCATGTATCTGTATATAATTATAATGTATATGAGAAATCATTGCACAAATAAATGCATTTCTAATTGATTTTGGAGCATGTTTTGATTGGAATAAACGGTGCGAAGTAGCATTTAAAATTGAAACAATAACTTATTTATTACTTGCCATTGAACGATTTCAAAAAATATAATGTTTATATTTATTTTTATGTAGTTTTGGGTATTAGTATCTGAAAAGTAATAAAACTCAAAGTAACGACTTTTTCATTTGAATTATAAAAGCTTCCTGCTACGACACGACTACTTTATTAATTATCGATAGGCCAAAACGATAGCTATCATGTAATCGATGTATGGCCGCCCTGCGCGAAACCAGAATTAATACAACAATGCAGCTCTGGTCACACTGTCTGTAAAATGAAGAAAAAGGAAACCCAAAACACAAACAATAGAATTTTATTATCAGTCTTCATAGGGGAGGAGGTGCAACCAGCATAAATGGAACCATGTCAGTGCAGTGTCATTGAGTAGTATGGAATAATTGTAAAGCAAACACATTGGAAAACCTACACAACGACAGTGACGTCACGGGCCCAACTGCGCAGAAAAACAACGGAAATCTTAGAGAAAATCAAAAGGGGTGTAGGAGGAGCTCTAGCAACCGATCCCACCGACCTTGTGGCCAATTTCACTTTTACCACAATCAAAGCCGATTAATTATATATAAATCGAAGCAGCCAAAGGCCAAAGTTTCCATTTCACGATGACGGGCGACGAGAAGCTGCCGCTGAAGCAGGCAGAGGTCTCCATACAGAGATTCCAGGAAATGGCGGTAACTAATTCACGAAATAATCATAAAATTTCCGGTATTATATTAACAATTTACAGGTTCCCCATCACATGAGTCTCCTGAAAAACCATCGCAGCAATATAGAGAAAAGTCTGGCCTTGGGCGACTGGCAAAAGATCAAAAAAGAAGAACTCAATGCCCTACGGGTCATTAAACAAATAAAGAATCTTCTCCTAGAAATGGATGCACTGCGTGAAAAGGTGCGGGAAGAAGATCTGGAACGCTTCGATGACCTTATGCGGCCCGGCAGGGATCAAGCCTTTGCAGGCATGAAGGATTTTGCAGGTAGGTTCAGCATATATTCCATATTTCGAGTTAATCCTCACACATTTTCGCCCTTAGAGCTAAAACTGAAGTCCCCCACGTCGACGTTGGGCTCCCAGTATGACGAGGACCAGGATAATCCAGCCGAGAACGTAGACATGCACAATTTACCTGCTCATCAGCATATGCCTCAGCTGCAGGTCAACTTCCACTTGGAAGAGCACACGCTGGCACAACGCCAAGCCTGCCTCGATCAAATGGAAAATCTGCAGAGGGAAATCTACGATCTTCACGGCATGTTTCAGGGCATGCGGCAACTGACTGCAGAGCAATCGGTGGCGGTAGAGAAAATAGCTGACAATGCAGAGGAGGCATTGGAAAATGTACAACAAGGCGAGCGACAGCTACGCCAAGCACTGACCTACAAAAAAGCAATGTATCCAGTGGTAGGAGCTCTCCTAGGCACCTGTGTAGGTGGACCCATTGGATTAGTGGCTGGTATTAAAGCAGGAGGACTGGCAGCAGTGGGTTGCGGCATTCTGGGCTTCACCGGCGGCTCAGTCCTAAAGGCCAATCCAAATGTAATGCATGGCAATATTGAGGAACAGCAGGCGGAGGCTGATAGCGAGTCGACAGAGAGGTTGGAGCTGAAGGAGAAGCCAGAATGACCAACCGGGGATCAAGCCCCGTCAGTGTCGACGACTCTGGCCACCACGCACATCTGGTCGGCTAATACGCGGCGTTTGGAGGCGGCCACCAGCGTCATCTCCAGTGTGCGCAGTTATTGTTCCGTTCAGTAATGATACCACACTCCCCCTTTTAGTTAAATAACCTCCCCAATTTGTGATCATTCATTCATGTAGGGCAGCTCACCAGCCTCATCTGAACTTCGTGTTTACTTTAAGCGTTGGATATTTGTTATAACCATGACGTAGAATCTATATGTAACTTTTAAGGCTTTAATATGCAATAAATACCTTAGCTTTAACAACTAATTGAAGATGTCTACGATGCAGCAGGAGTTAAATTCCCAGGGAACTAGGACATAATTAGATTCGTAGTTTTTAAGGCTTTAATATGCAATATAAACTCTTAGCTAAAACAGATTTGTAGCGATATTTGGCCTACAAAATCACTTAACCTAAGCGGGGACTTACAATCTAAGGTGTATACCTAGGATAGGTAAACATTTCCCAGACTTATAGGGGCACGTTGACCGTGGTCCAGGCCTGCTTGAAGTTCTTTTTCTGGGAGTGCTGCTTCTTGCGTAGACGTTTGGCGGTCTTCTTCTTCTTAAACCACGCCGGATAGTTGCCATACTGATCCTTGAGGGTTTTGCTGTTAAAGACGTGCTCTACACCAGTATTCTCGTTGACCACGGGCACCTTTTCGCCCTTCTCCAGGCTCTCCTGGTGCTCGTAGATCAATTCTTGCTCCTCCTTGGAATTGGCTTCCTATAAAGTAGCAGTTTTTAAGTACATGGATATAGCACTATATATCTGGATATAACTTACCCTTTTAATCTCTTTTGATGTCTTAACTTCCACCACATCGCTGATATCTTTCATGATCTCATTTCCATCGGCATCCAGCAGACCCAGAGTTTTCTTCAAGCGAATTAACTCTTTAGCCTCGTACCGCGCCTTCTTGATCTTGTTCATTTCATCGCGGCGCTTTCGTGAGCGATTATTTCGGCCCATTTTGTTGTTTGAAAATCAAGTAAGCGCTTAAAATTAATAATTAATAAACTGCGTTCAATTCGTAAAAATAAACACGTGCGTTTGAACAGCTGGCTAGAGGTGGCTCGACGGTTAACGCACCTATCGATATATCGATTACTTCTAGTGCGCTGCGTTATCGTTTACTCCGATTCTTTTCAAAAGTAACAGCCATTTGAAATCTCCCATACACTGCAGTATATTTCCTGGTTCTTTTGTATAAAAAAGAGACAATTAAATAAGACAACGCGAGTAAGAACGAAAATACAAATATTTGGTTTATATCTAAAAAAAACATTTTATACAAAGTTAATTTTACAATATAACATTTTACAATATATGCTATATGCTATTAAGGGTTTTTAAAAATGTACTAAAATTTTAATATACATATATTTCTTTGTTTATTGTGTTTTCTGTCGAATGAATTAACAAGTAAACCTGGTACTTTATGAATTTACAGATTGTTCATAAGATATAAATGTGCTAGCTTAAAACCACAAATTGAGCTTCAGTGGCTTGGCTCACACCTCCATTCCCGTGCCTTCCAATGCTTATTTATTTACCCAATCGTTTTCTCCCCTCTTTCTGGCTTTTTCGCTCTCATCTCAATTCTCTCAGAATGCAATATGATTTTTGTATACAAACAAAATCAGCTGCTGAAGAGCGAGAGAGAGAGAAAAAGAGAGGCCTGCAAAATACGAAAAAATAGAAAATTGGATAAATAAAAATCCATACGAATACGGAATTCCCTATTATAAATTCAATAAATTGTTTAATGAAGAGATTATATAAAAGTTTTGAAATATATTCATTTTGAAAAGAGTTTTATTTATTTATCTGTAAAACTAACAGGCTATGTTTTAAAGATTTAATAGGATTTGTTTAAACCCGGAATAATAAAAGTAACATATAGGGATTGAAATAATATTAATTATAATTAATAATATGCTTGGCTAAGTTAAAGCAGAAATCTGGTTAGCATTAATAGTGCTAATAAGTGATGAACTAAAATGACTAACATTTAAATTCATTAAAATTTTTCTTACCATACCTATTTTCCTTATTTTCGGCATTATTTCCTATAGCATTTTCTCCTTCAACCACTAGAGAAAGAGTATCTCTCAGAGCTCTCTTGCACATGCGCAGCAGCGTATAGCCAAAGCGGAGAGGGAGTAATCGGGGTAAGTGTGTCGGGCTCAGCTGTAGAGTCACCAACACAGAGGCACAACCACCACGCATACCAGCACAAGCCGAGCCATACACACGCACACACTGGTTGGCAACTTTGTTGGCCAGTTTTTGGAAGCCATCATTCGCTCGTCAGTCGTTTGCTAGCATACGTCACGGAGTTCCTGTAGCGCTGCTCTTGCACCTCTCGCCCCCTCTCAGTTCTCTCTCACACAACGGAAGCAATCAGGATAAAAAATAAAACGAAAAAAATAAATAAAATAAAAACAAAAGAACATTGATTCAAATAAGTGAAGAACGCAGAGGAGGGGATAATTCCGTCATCGAACGATCAATAAACTCCAAGCAGCAACAGCAAGTAAGTGCATTTTAACCCCCGAAAATAAGTAACGCTGGCGGAAGTGGAAGTCCGCCAAGGAAAGGACACTCGAGCGAATATTGTATGTGTACATCTTTATTATGTATGGGGTTCCTCGAAGTTTGCTCATGATTTACATACATGTACACACATCACACACATCTCGAGTGCAGCCAAGCGATACATACACAAAAAAGTGCACAAAACAAAAAAATAGAAAAAAATTCTGATTGCACCTTCGCATTCAAAGAGTTCACACTTTTGTGTCTGTATTTTGGATGAGTGTGTGTGTGTGAGTGTGACTTTTCTTCGGCTTGGCCAGGCCAAGTTTTTTCCCCTCGAGTTTTTCCGGGAGTTTCAAACCCCTCCCCCCAATGTATTCGACTGCAAATCGGCCGAGTTTCTCGTTAGGGGATTTCCATTCTGGGCATCTAATAGCCATCAATTTGACTTGCATCACGTTTTCAGCATTTGTTGCGATCGTTATCAGAGCCAGGCCACAGATCTCAGATCTCTCTGGCATTTGCCAGCTGAGTGCACTGAGAGAAAATGTTAGTCAGACTAATTAAGAACTTATCTTTCTTTTGAAACGTATCCAATAACAAAAAGTTACTTTCAATATTGCTAGGTTTGGCTTTTCCATTTTAAAATATTTAACTAATTATATAAATTTTGTTATAGAAACGAAAGTTAACTTAATCTATTTTTTCCCAGTGCTAGTTCAGGCTCATTTAGCTGCTGCTCTCTGCCCCCGATCGAGTTTTAGTTGAAATGAACATTATGACTATGTGTTCATGGATTGTCATCTGGTGATGGCAACAGCAATGAATGTTTTCGCTGATTAACATCTTAATTAGCCTTGCAATTATTTCCTGCATTGTGCCCTAGCAGCAGCACTGGCTTTTCGCCAAATAAATGCATTAAGATTCATCCAGAAAATGCAGGCAAATAGGGAGTTTTGCAGGAGAAAAGCCTCTGCCACTCAACGATTACTATATACTATAGTACACAAAATGAGGGCCCAAAAACCCAAGTGAATCATGCTGGAAATGTGCACAGAACAGGTCTTGCAGTTGCAGTTGCAGTTGCCATTGTCCATTGTCCATTATCCATTTTTCGAGCCAAAGAACCGGGAACGAAGGTGCTGGACTGAAACGGCGGAGCTGAGGAGGAGCTGGGTCCCGGATGATAAATCAAGTCTGGCCAGTTGTTTTTGTCTGTGGTAACGAAAGAAAAATTGAAAAACAAAAGCCACGGACAACACAACATAAACAGCGAACAGCTGATGATGCTCCAGCATCTCAGCGAAACTCATCGAGTGTATGTATCTGCCAGATACGTTTGCTGTCCCGATCGTGGCCAACGAATCTGGCCGCCTTAATTGGCCAAAAAGGGTAGCTCGGAGTCAAAGAAATACAACTAGTGCAGAGAGAGAAAATAAAGGGGAAGAAAGATGAATTATAGGAGAAGAAAATAATGAAAGAAAATAAAAAGTATGAATTTTTCTTATACATTTGATACTTCATTTTAAATTTATATCTTTCTGAAATGAAATAAATTTAACGACGCATTTCATTGATCTTTCTCTGCCTGTAGCCATGTCAATTCCTTTGTGTGCTATTTTTGAACTAGTCTTGGCCTTTTAAGGCACTGGTCAGCTTTAAGGCGCTTTTCACTCCAATCCAAGCCAAGCCGATCTGGGCAGGGAATAAAGGCAATTAAGTCATCGTTAGGCGGCATTAGGGGGCTTTAATTAGTACAGCGCATTTTCGCTGCCAACTGACGCGGCAGTTTTTCACAGCCCCGCAGGTCGTCTTACATGGACAGAGATACCTTTCAGAAACGGATACACAGATACAGATACAGATACTGACGGAAGAACCCAGTTACCAGGTAGCTGTGGCGGCAGCTGGCTAATCCTAAAATGGCACGCATTTCGTCCCCGACGGACCCTCTCTCTCTCCCTACCCGACCCCGATAATGCCCGACTATAATTAGAAAGTTAGTCAGCCGACTTGGCGTAACTGTAATTACGGCTGGGTATCCGAAAGATACCCAAACAAAAACCAAACAATGGACACTTGATGTCTCTTGTCTCCTGATGTTTCTTGTCTCGGTTTTGGGTTACTGTTTTGGGCCTGCTCCGAGCAGGTCCTGATTTATGGCAGCGGGAAGCGAAGAAAGCAGAAAGTGAAATTCGGTGTGGGAAAAACCTGTTTGCCATTTACCCAGGATATAAACAAAGGCGGAGACAAAGACCCAGCAGTGTCAAGTTCAAGTCGTACGATTATCGGGAGTTATATAAGGTTTTCGGGTGCGTTATGGATGAGTCGGGATTAAGGGATATTCGAACAAACATTGGTAAGAGAAAAAAGAATATGAAGAATAACAGTTAATTAGGAAATATTTAACAAAAAGATAGAGGGAAGCCGATAAGAGATATAGATAATTCACTTGCCTTTGCAATATCAATATATCTTAATGTAATTATATTATTAAGTAAATAATCTGCTTCAAATGTTGATTTGCAAAAAGTATGTAATACATTTTACTTAGAGAGTGCTGGGTATTTAATAGTCGACTCCAATGCCCAGTAAAATTCTCAAAGCACGTCATAGTTCTACAACTGTTAGATAATGTTATTTTGTATATAGCAGAAATGTTTGTAAATGTATATTTCTCCTGATTAATTATTAACTTACTCCTAAACATTCTTAAATAGGAATTAATGTTCTTCAATTAAAGATGAATTACCTTTTTCTAACATCTAATTTTAGATAATTCTCTTATTAAGGCAAAAAAATTCTCCCGCCAAAAAGTATGCAATGATTCCTGAGCACTCATTTGAGGGTATTTAATATTCTCTGAAACTTTCCTTTAGTTATTCCGCAAAATGTCAAAAATTATGTCATATTTCTCAAATAAACGCAGCTGCAACGAGAGCTAAAGGGAAGGAATTCCCGGGGGCATGGCCATTGCGATGGGGTGGTGGTAATGGTGCTAGTGGTGGTGCTGTTTCCAGGTGGTAGGCCCAGTAACTGCACACTGCGCAGTACCCCGTTACCCATCCCCTGCGGCTGGGGGTTGCTGACGTGTTCATTTTCCACTGGCGCTGATTTGCAGCTACGTTTAGGGCCTTTCATCGATCTGCAGCTTTGGCGCGCGTGTGGGGCTCGCATAATCTCTGCTCGAAAAATGGGCACCCTTCGGGGAACCGAGAGCCGAAAATAGCAAAGGTGACCCCCAAAAAATGCTGCGGAACGAGAAGCTGCGAAAAGTTTTTCTGTGCCTACATTTCCCTAAATGCGGAAGTCGTAGCTAAATATATATACATATATAGGTGTAGGTATATATACAAATAATTGCAACGAGAGAGTCGAACCAAAACATTCGAAGGTTGCCTTGGCAATCTTCGGGGGGAGGAAGGGAGAAAGGGCCCTCAACTGCGCAGGTCAAACAAATTTGTTTGTAAACAAAATCCCACTGAGAGGAGAGAGACAATTTTCCTGCACCGAAAGTAGGGGAAATTCAGTAACAGCAGCAACGGTGTCTCGGTCCCAGTAACCAACTGCGGTCCGAACTATTTTTAAACTCCGTTGGGGGTGTCTGCAATGGGGTTGGCCATTGGGGTGGCGGTCGATTAATACTCGCCCATAAATCTCCTTTTTAATTGGCAACGTCCAGGCACAATTGCTTCACTTAAACAAAGGCACTTTAAGCATGACAGCCCACAATGGTGTCAAATATTAATTTGATTACGAAGAAAAGGAAAATTCAATTGGTTAGACAAAAGGACACAAAGGGTTAAGGATAATAAGGGTATCATAACTCTGCATTAAATAGATCCCTCTTATTGATTTTCTGGAAACCCCTATATGAGGAATTTATAAAAATAATAAAGTTATAAGGGTTAACTATAGATTTGATAAAGTTATATTACCAAGAAAAGGAAAATTCAATTGGTTACACAAAAGGATACAACGGGTTAAGGATAATAAGGGTATCATAACTCTGCCTTAAATCGATCACTCTTATTGATTTTCTGGAAACCCCAAGATGAGAAATTTATAAAAATTATAAAGTTAGGGGATAACTAGAAAAGTGACAAAATCACAAATATGTATATATTTTATTCAAAGACACTTTCCTTTGTTTATAAATTCATGATTTCACATGTGTTGCATATTATTTTTAATTACACTTCTAAAACCATTAGAAATGAGATTATTTCATTGCAAGGCCCTGCGGCTATAGTGAGAGTCATGATGATATGGGATGACTGGAGGTGTAAAGACCTTTCTATAGCTTTAGCTGATGTAATCCACGGCGCGGAAAGGGCGCACAAATCGATTGAATGCCGCAATATTAGATTGATTGATTGTTTACCGGAGACTGTAGGGGCCACAGACGGCGCTGACCCAGTGTTCTAAATACGGCAGCTGGGCCTGCGACTGATACTGATAAACAAAGTGATAAAATTAATGCGTCGTGCCCAGCAGATTTGCCTAAGAAGCGACATCGACACTCGCATCTGCGTCTCACGTACTAATTGAAATTACGCGTTATTAAACAGCCACTTTGTACACATAAAACAATATAATAAAAAAGCTCATCTAAATGCCATTAATATGTGTACAATCCAAGTGCATCAAGGTACGCGAACTTGATATTATATGTGTGTATATTATGTATAATGAAAGTATCTTGTGTGCGATGACAGAGAACCTGCAGTCACACATTTATCATCGATCGTTCGATAAGCAAAATCAAAACACAATGAACCTGGAATGATTTCCTTTCCCTTCCCTCGATGCTCTGGCAGGTACAGTGGTACCTCACAAGTGTCTCCTTGGGTGTGTGGGGGACCTGTGACATCAAAGAACCGCTTGCGTCACTTTTTCGAGGAGCTTTATGGGAGGCTTGATGGGGCTTAGTATATATATTTATAGATATAGCGAATAAAGAAAACGAAACAAAAAGTGCTTTGTGATTATAGCAAA